CTTCCCACCTCCACCCTTGCTGTTTTCATCCTTTCTCTTCCTCGGTCATTTTCATAGAAAGGAGTATGAGGCAATTTCTGCCTTTAGAAGCTTGTGAATGATGTGATGAGGCGGACTCGTAGGCTTGTAGTATTCTTTCGTAGCTTTCCTAGTCAAGCGACACGTTTGACGGGCAGCATGGGGAAGTTGAAGCTTGTGGGGCTCTGCTGCTCTTGAGCCCCTCCAGCTTCTTGACGAGCGCTGCTAGCTGCGAGCCTCCTCCTTCACACGCCTTTTGGGAGGGAAACCTCTCTTCCTCCGCTACCTGCACATGGCTCTGCTTGCCTGGCTTCACTGAGCTCAACGGTTCTTGCCTGCCATGTCTCCCCTGCGGCTCCTCAAGTCACAGCCCATGCTGGTACCCCACACGAGAAGTGCAGACTGACATGGGTAGCTCGTCTTGCGTGCCAACCTGCGCGGACGCGTCGCTTGTCAGCACGGGAGTGTGGAGCCAGCAGAAGGACATAGTCTCCTGCCAATGCGCGAACAAGCTGGTGACTCGTTTCAGAGATCGTGTGGAATGTGCTAACTTTGGGAATGTCAACGAGCCAAACTGTGCTGGACCAAAATCCTCAGTGGAGTTCTCCTATATCATGCAAGAGAATATGGTCGTAGATAAATCAGTTGTCACATTTGCAATTCCATATAATGGGAACATACAACTTTGTCTTGACTCGTGTAATTCTGAACCGACTTGTCGTTGTTTCAGTATTTTCACGGATAGAAATAATGGTAGAAGGACGTGTATGTTCAGCGATTCTTCTTGCCGTGCGATGAATGTGAAGAGCTGGGATCGTCAACCTTCTGTTCTCTACATTAAGAACGCTAGTACCTGTTCAAAGCAGTGTGACGGTTCTACTGTTTCAGTCGACAGCATTGCATACTGCCAGTGCGGTCAAGGAACTTATCTTGATGCAGCGACCGATACAGCAAGAGATTGCATAGCAAAAGATTCTTTGACCTTTCACAGCGTCATTCCTGACGTCTTTAACCAGAGCACGAGCCTTGCAATGTGTGCGACTACTGCTAGAAGTCAAAAGCGAGAATCATTCTGCTTCAGCGCCTCCACCAGAGCCTGTTATTCTCGAACGGATTCATCTAGCGTTTGCTCGAGGGATAGTTGGCAAGGGCATGAAGTGAGTAGGAGGTTCTCGCTTTATCTTACTCCGCTTCCATGGGACGAGGCAGAAGCTTTTTGCAACAGTCACGGGGGTCATCTTTCCTCTATCACCAACCAGAAGGACAAGTTGCTGATGGAGGGGCTAGTGCAGGGCATAGAGAACGTGTGGATAGGACTGAACTTGGATTCTCATCATGCAGATAGCAATGGATCTGACATCCGTTGGTCCGATGGCATGTTTCTCAGCAGTTTCAATCAACTCTTCCGTGAAATTCCTCGATCTGGATGCGTTGCAATGCGTTCCTTGTCATCGACAGCTGCTTTCCCGGCCTTTGCTTGTGATCGTTCGTTTGCTTTCTCATGCTCTTACATGGTGGATGATATCATCAAGATAGAGCAAGACCTCCAATGTTACTCCACTTCTTCTGTTTGTCGCGTTTGTCGCAACTTCAACGAGTCGATTGGACCTCATTTTGTTGTTGGAGTCGGAGACGTAAAGACGCGATGGTGCCCGGTTAGTTGTGAGTCGAGTTACGTGGACTCTTACACCTTGCATGGATGTAATGGGGACAACAGTAATGCTACTTGCTCAAAGGCGAAAGCTTGCAGAACTTTCATGGAAAACGGAACAGTAGAATGTGATAGAAAATATTTGCAATGCAGCAAATTTGAAATTCGCGGCGAATTTGAAATTCACTACTATTCCTTGGCTGTCTGGCTTTTGGGGCTTGGACTACCCTCAATGCTTGCTACAATATTCTTGTTTTTCTCAATGGTTTACTATCCATCAGTTTGGACTACGAAGGATAAGAAAAGGCATTGTGTGTCCTGCGGTACTTCACTTTGCTTCACGTGCTACATGAATACAGCAGAAGAGACCCCTCCATCTCCTGAGAATCAGACGGTAGAAGTGATTATGCAAGGTTTCGTGATGTTGCAAGCTAAGTGTTCTTGGAGAAAAAGTCTGATTTGCTTGACCTGCAATGAAAACAGACCCTCTCAATGCGATCAAGTCTGTGCTCGATACGGCAGACGGGTAAGGCAGTGCAATGCCATGGAAGACAAGAAGTTTCATTCATTACCGGACGCATCACTCAAATCGCTTGTTGTCAGTATCAAGAATGCGTTTTTATTGAAATACGATTTACGAATACAAGTTTGCTTCTCGATTCTCCTCATCTCTGTGATACTTTTCTTGGCAGTCTATAGTGAAATGTCACGAAATCATTCTCGGATTACAGAAAATGACGCGCTCGCAATCTCTCTCATAACCCCGTTGGTTTCACTACCTGTGTCTTGTCTTGCTGTCGTTTGCTTTTGCATGATCGTAGCAGAGCTGGAGAAGTCGCTTTGTTGCGTCTGTTCAAACGATTTCTCATGTCCGAGCTGCCACATGAGAAAGTTTAACAAGCTTATGGACAAGTCTCCCAGAGAGCTTCAAAGGTTGCGAGGAGAACGACCCGGTCGCTTCATCTACGTGAGGGACAACAAGCCGTGCAGCAGAGTTGATCTGAATGATTCGATATCCGGTAGGATAGTTCTCAAAGTGCGTCATATGGAAGAAGAGGGGAGGCCCCAGCCCCTCTACTACCTCAAGTCTGATGTTTCCTTTGCTTGGCTTCATCTCGACAACACATCAGGAGATTTGACGTTCGACACCTCCAAGATAACTGAAGACAATCGCAAGACTTCGACCATCACGTTAGTCATCGCAGCATTCAACACGTCTGGTTTCTGTACTACGAAGATCCAAGTATTCCTCGACGCTTGTCCTTCTCCTCCATCAAATCTCAGATACCCTCAATGCGACGGCTACTTGCTGATGCTTGAATCGCTCCTCTACAAGCAATGCTACATCACAGGAATGCTGCAGTGCTCGTGGTGTAGACAAGATGCGTCAGAACAGATGATATGTCAAACTTGTATCAACGAAGGCAAACGATCGCCTCTTGTCTGTCAGCAATGTTTTCACGGGTACGAGTTTCGACAAGTTTCGCATCATCGTCTAGGGCATGAGTTTGTTAGACGAGCACCGGCACAAGTAGGATCATACGTTCAACGAGCAGATGGGGGAATCGAAAAGATTGAAGAGATGTCTACAGGAATACTCGAAAACGAACCTTTCATACCCCTTGACCTGTTCTATTTCCCTGTACCCCTCTTTTTTCTTGCCAACGGTTTTTACATCTCAGTCAGTATTGTGATTTTGGGGTTTTCAGGATTAGCTATCCTTTTAACTTCGATTTTTGGTTTATATTTTGCTTATGGTGCATCCGTGGTAGTCTTTTGGCGGGAGGAGCGCAATGTGAGGAGATATAGATACTATAAGACATCACGTCGAGGGTCAGACGTCGTCAGAGATCTCCAAGAGAGCGATTATCCTTCCTTTCAAGTGTTGGGAACAGATTCGATCCCGATGCATACACACGTGGAGGCATCGGCAAGGCTGGAGGAACATAGCTTCCCTCCTGCTCGTTTCCGATCTCTCAAGGTCTTGCCCAAGGGTGTCTTTCTCAACGAGGATAGCGGGACTTTGTACGGATATCCGCTTGAAGAAGGTGAGTTTGAAATACAAGTTGAAGCATACAACGAGATCGGCTCGTCCACTTGCACGTTGCTCATGAAGATCGTCGAACGCCATGCTTCAAGCGCAGTGCGTGCATGCCCCAGCGCTTTCTCAGAAGCTCCTCTAGTGTTACTCCATGAAGACAACGAGCAAGAGAGGACGATAGAGATTGAAACCTTACAGGAGGACGACTATGCGATCAGCGAACTCAGATACTTGAAAGGACAACTGCGAGAAGGGATTGGAAACGTGTGCTCTGAAGGATCATATCAGATGCTCTCGACTCACCCGAATCTAGTGAATCTTGATCTTGATGCTGAAACAGGAGAAGTTTCTTGTTCGCTTACCCTTCGCACAATTCTCTCCTGTTTTCCAGCCAAGTGTGAAGCGATCTTTCTGTCTGAGAAAGCCGAGGTCATCCGCAAGTCTCTCTTCCTATCCATCGCTCAAGTCTCGTCCTGTCAGCCTCTGCCCCTGGCCTCCATCCGGTTCGCGCGCTTAAGCAACGCAAACTACATGAGCAGCATGCGGCTGCCAGACTTCCCGCAAGTTGCGCAGGTCGAGCCCCAGCTGTTCTCCCTTAGCTCGGGTGAAGAAGTGTGTATCGCTCCCTGCCTTGTCTCTCTGCCAGCAGTCATGCGCTCGTTGACTGAGCATGTCGCGTTTCATTCCGGTCTCACCCTCGTCGTCGTCGAAGTTTTGGCAGCTCACGCGAGGACAGGACGCATGCGGGTCACGCCAGGCAGAAGCAGAGGAGGCGGGGGGCTGGAGATGGAGGTCAGCTGGGATCGAGCAGGCGAGGTGTGGGAGGAGGCAGTGATGGGGAGTGACATGTACATATACGTGACAAGCGTGTTGCCCGGCTGGACCCTGAGACCGCTGCGATCCCACGTCAATGACGAGCTAGTGGAGCAGAGGAACGCGCTTCCCCCCGGGCTGAAGCTCAGCTCGAACGGAGTCATCTACGGTAAAGCGCGGGTCTTGCAGCCTGTCGTTGGGTTCGAGTTGGGGCATGCAGCGAGTCAAGGCGAAGAGAGCAAGACCATCGCCATGACGGTGACGTCATCGGCTTCCGCGAGGTATCGAGCAATATTGAGTTCTTTCCTCTTCGCCCACCAGCTCTTCATGGCGATGTTCCAACGGAAGCACGTGCGGGCAAGGCTAGAGCTCCTCTTGGAAGCAAGATCAGCGACTAGCTTGGAGGAGCTTGACCTCGAAGAAGTTGTGCGATACTACACGTTCCCTCGCAAGAATGACATCAGGTTCTGCATCAAAATGTATGAGAGATCAGACAGGCCCGACATTTCGAGCGTGAGAATACCAGGATTCAAGGTGCATGCAGTTATTGGAAGAGGAGGGCAGGGATCGGTATACCTCTGTCAGAGAGAGCAAGGCTCCTTGGCCATGTTTGCTGTTAAGGTTTGCGACAAGCCAGACGAGCGGGAGTATCAGAACCTGAAAACCCTTGAGCAGCTCCGACATCCCAACATCGTTAAAGTGTTCGAGTGCTTGCTGCAGCCGTTCGCTATCGTCATGGAATTTGTGGAAGGAGAGTCTCTGAAGGACTTGATAGAGACTTCAGAGGAGGGGGAAGGTCGACGTCTCACTAGGGATGTGGTATATGAGATCGGTTCCCAGCTTCTCCTTGGTCTCTGCGCACTGCACAAGTTATCTATCCTGCATCGCGACCTCAAGCCGTCCAACATCATCTGCACCTTCTCAGGTAACGACATCCAGCGAGTCACGCTGATAGACTTCGGAGCTTCGAAGCACGAGAACCTGGATCACACCATGACCTACACCGGCAACTACATCGGTACCCTGCACTACTTCAGCCCCGAGCAGTGCAGAGGAGACTCCCAGCTCGACGCAAGAGTTGACGTGTGGTCAGCTGGGGTAGTCATCTACGAGATGACAGCTGGGAAGAAGCCTTTCTTCTCTCACAACGTGCTCGAGCTCTTCACGGCTATTCGCAGAAAGCCGTTTGCCTACATCCCGGGCTGCGGAGCTGCGATGAACTTGTTTCTGAAGACAGCGTTGAAGAAAGAGGCGGGAGATCGATTCGAAGACGCGGAGGAGATGCTGCACATGTTCAAGCAAGTGTTTGATGATCCCGAGAAAGCAGCTCAGACGCTTTCTGAAAGGAAAAGCACGTTCAAGGCTGAAAAAGCCGAGCCCGGGAGGAAGCGAGGGTCCAACAAGTGGGGGGTACTCGCCTTCTTTGTGAAACGTCACGTCAACCCATTAACACTCAAGTCGAAGATCGGAGACGCGTGGAACAACAACAGAGACGACGAGGCGCTGGATCTCTTGCTGGCACAGGAGCTCGAGAGCATCGACCCATATGAGGAAGCCAGCATCATGCAAGACTCGTCGCTCGGCGCCATGTTCGACCTCCGCATGCACCCGCAGCCGACGTTTGAGAGCTTTGTGCGTCAGATGGGGGCGTGCGACTCGTCGGAGATCAGGGTGGTGCATCTGTCCGGGCATGGGGACAGCAAGAACGGCTTCTGGTGGCTGAAAGATGGCTCTAAGTCCGAGTTCGACCTCAAGTCCCCCGAGGAAGTGGCAGACGTCATCGCTCTGCACGTGGACGGAGGCCCAACCCAGACGTCCGTCGAGTGCGTCGTACTGAACGCGTGCCAGTCCTACGGGATGGGGAGGCGCCTCTTCGAGCTGGGGGTGCGCAACGTGGTTTGCTGGGAAGGGAAGGTGAGGGACACAACGGCAATAACGTTCTCGAGGTACTTCTACGAGAGTTTAAACGAGATGGCCGGGAGGAAGGAGATAGACTATCGCAGAACCTTCGAGCGAGCTTGTCTCAGATACTCCTCCTCCTCAGAGTCTGACCCAACGAGCACAGTGAGAAGTCTAGTGAGAAACTCGAAGAGAGGGAAGTTGGATCAGATTGTGATGATAAGCAAAGGTAACTTTGAACAAGTCTTTATGTCTCCCTGCTGACTTGTCTGCAGGCGGAGATTGTAAACGAGATCTTTCAATCTAATCCGCCGACGCTGGACCATATTTCAATTCGCAGTTGTTTCCTGCTGTTTGTCATATCAGATAAAATGTTTGCTCAAAAACAGCTGCCGCTCGAGGAGTTGGATCCGGCTGACATAAGTAGCTTCTCTCCCTCAGCGTCTATCTGGACTAAGTATCTCGAGGAAAATGGCTGCTGCTACTTGTAGCCGGCGCGTTCACGTTCACCGGTCCCGCTCCCCGTCAGTCTTGTAGCCCACATCATCCTCTCGAGCTCAAACAGAACTTATCAGCACAATCAGCTCTGTCATCTCCAGTCACCCGCTTTCTCTCCGAGCCCTCCATAGTAAGCTCTGGAGAAAACGCCCGCATGCCTTGGTCGAGCGCAGTGTTCAACTCCGCCGCGGTCTTCCGGCTTCACTGCATTGCTCAGACGGAACCTATGCGTGTCCCTTGCAGACAGATTACAACATCTCAACATGGGCTCCAAGACGCTATCAAGGAGCAAATCATTCGCTACATGCTCTCCAGCATGAGCTTGTTGTTTCCCATCATCGCTGAAGCAACACCCGAGACGCTCTGTTTCTTGTTACTCTGCTCGCAATCGCGATGCTAACATGCGATCTCATCTCTCCCACATCTCCATAGCAAGGGACATATTCAACGAGGTCTCATGCAAGTTGGTTGCTTCATTCCTCAAGGTGCAAGCGAGCTTTTGATAATCTCTTCTGCTGCAAACCTTACTGAGACTTCAGGTATCCAGGGAATCGAATTGGTCAATCAGATACCGTTACAGCCTCTGAGCTGTTCAGTAGGAAGAGTCGAAGAAACTTGCTGGTCAACACCTTACAAGTGTTGCACGAGATATATCAGTATCACAGCTTGAAGCAACAAAGCTATCCTGTTCTGTTGTGCAACATCATATGCTGGTCGTTGGAATCTTCATCTCGGAAAGCGAAAGTGCATGTACTTGTACTGATCATGGCTGACTTGCCGAGAGACCTTCATCCATGGATGCTTGGACTGGGGAGCGATACATTGTGGGCCGCAGTCAGATAGCGCCGAGTTAACAAAACTCTCCTGTAAACACCCTTACGTGTTTCGAGGCGGCAATGTAGTACGTGTCACAATGTGACGAAGAGGAGGCCTTCCTAGCCGTCTTGCGAAGGTCCGAGCCTCTCATATCTGCCAGTACAGTCTATCTCTCATGTGCTCCTCAATTGTGGTTTCGTGTGCCATGATCGGACTGACTTGAAACTGGTCTTGAGCAAAACCTGTCTGTCTGTCTTGTTGCAGTCTGCCTGTCTGTTTGGCATAGTACAAGTTTGCTCCGTCAGCCTCGTACAACACTCCGGCTTCAACCTCAGCTCGGCTGACCGTTGAACTTCCGAAGGCCGCGCCCGGGGGCCCGGCCCGCGGCCCGGGGCCCGGTGTCAGCAAGATGGGCCAGCGTGACGGTGAACCTTGCCCGGCCCGGCGGCTGAGGGCCGCGGCACTGTCACACCGCCGGGTCTCAGTCCGACGGTCGTGCCACTGGCACCGTCATGCGTAGTTACTATCATGTCTTCACTCAGACTCAACTTGAATCTACGGTTTCATTCTCACTTGTCACAGGGACTTACTGTTAACAATCACAATCACGTTGTACGTCGGAGCTTGCTTTGCCGCCATAAGGACTCTTCGACGGGCTGTCAGGACTCCTGCTTCCTCCGCCCCACCCACAAGACTCGCCGCCAGCCTCTCCCTCCTGCCCTGTCGAGCTCAGCTTCATGATACTTTGTACCTCCTCCCGCGGCAGATCAGCCTGAGCTGAAGACTGATCGTCTTCTATCGGGCAGCTCATGTACCATCGGATCCATTCACTCTCCGATATACCCTGCCCTCCTCTTCCTCCGACTTGCAACGTCAAGACTGAAGTCACACAACAAGTCAGCAGGGGAGCAGCAGCGAGACTCTCAGTCTCTCTTGCTCTCACCTTGGGTCGCGGCGCTGCTTCCGACGTGGCTGCTTCCCAGCTCCGAAGAGAGGGAGGGAGCCCCTGCCTTCCCTCCTTGCACTTGCCCTTCCACTGTGCCCTCAGCACCAGTCCAGCTGCAGCCTGCCCTGCTGGGGTATGCGAGGTTTGCGCCTGCTCCCCCCTCGGGCTTCGCATCAGAGCTGGAGTAGACGCCAGGTGGAGTACGGGAGGAGGAGGCTTCTACTGGGTACAGCGGGTACGAGCCCTCTGACCTGTCTGAGTCCCCTGACTGCCCGTCTTGCCGGGTGACCTCTGACGTGGCACTCGCGCCCGGCACGCTCGTCTTCCTGTTTCTTGAGTAAGGCCACTTGCTAAGGCCAAGAGCCTTGCACGCGTTCTTGAGGGCGGTCAGAGAAATCCCCTGCACAGCTCCGTCATGAACAAGCGCGAGGGAGGGAGAGAGGGATAGAGGGAGGGAGAGAGAGAGGGATAGAGGGATAGA